CTCGCCATGTCCAACTCACCATGGTCAACTCACTCAGTCCTACTCACCACAGCCAACTCACTGTGGTCAACTCACTGAGTCCAACTCACCATGGTCAACTCACTCAGTCCTACTCACCGCAGCCAACTCACTGTGGTCAACTCACTGCAGCCAACTCACCATGGTCAACTCACTGAGTCCTACTCACTGCAACCAACTCACCACAGTCAACTCACCATGTCCAACTCACCATGTCCAACTCACCGCAACCAACTCACCACAGCCAGCTCTCCACAGCCAACTCACCATGGCAAACTCATCGTGACCAATTTATTGCAGCCAGCTCTCCACAGCCAACTCGCTGCGGGACAAATGTTACTGGTAGTCCTTGACTTACGACCACAATCAAGCCTGAAATTTATGTTCTTAAGTGAGACATTTTTTAAAGTGAATTTTGTCCCATTTTGCGACCTTTCTTGCCTTGGTTGTTAGGCGAAACATTGCAGTTGATAAGTGGGTAGCGTGGCTGTTAAGTGAATCTGGCTTCCCTGTTAACTTCGCATGTCAAAAGGTCGCAAAAGGGGATCGCCTGACCTTCGGGCACAGCGACGGTCGTAAGTATGAGTCAGTTGCCAAACGTCTGAATTTTTATCACGGGGATGCCGCAAATGTCATAACTGCGAAAAACGGTCCTAAGTACCTTTTTTTTCTCAGTGCCGTCGTAACTCCGAACAGTCGCTAAATGAACTGTCGTAAGTCGAGGACTACCTGTGTGCTGCTATCAAAGAATGGGTGAGATAGAATCATTAAAGAAAGGATGCCAAAGGAGGAACAGAGATGGGAACGACAAAAATTAAAATGACGTTTTAATTATTTTAAATCAGGGCTCCCCAAACTTGGCCCCTTTGAGACCGGTGGACTTCAACTCCCAGAATTCCTCAGCCAGCTATCCTCAGCCAATCAGCTCTTCTGGCTGAGGAATTCTGGGAGTTGAAGTCCACCAGTCTCAAAGGGGCCAAGTGTGGGGAGCCCTGATTTAAAATCATTCAATGGTTGACTTGTCCTGCGGGGAGTTGTCCCCGTTCTGCCGCCTTGGCCAAGGCTCTCTTGCCTAATTCAGGGCCATGATGGGATACCTGGCCCTGAGCCCCGGTGGCAGAAAAAAAGTGAAATTTGGGGGTTCAATTAGAGGCCCCTGTGCAGGCAGCCCCCAAAATGAAGGGGGAAAAAATAAGGGGGAAAAAAATAGGAAAGTAGATAAACTGTTGGGGGAAAAAAAGCCACGGGACTTTGTTTTAATATAGGACAACTGCAGCGTGATGACAGGTACTGTTAAGCGTTACCAAATGTGGCCGTAGAGTGGAGTCGACTAGCAGACTCTACACCTTGGTCCAGCCACTGGTGGGAAAAAATAAAGTCCAAAGCTGAAGCTTTGGACAGCGCCGGCTACAAAAACTGGCGGCTGAGTGGCTTTTTACTTAAACGCAAATAAAAGAGTTTTATCTGCTTCTGCTGCGTCCTGCCTCTTATTCCTGTGGACCCATCTAGCAGGTACAGCTAATCCTCCTCCTCCTCCTCCTCCTCCTCCTCCCTTTCTTCTGATGATGTTCCCTAATTGGGTCATGTAACACCTGCAAGAAAACCACCCAGCTCAGGGAGCACCAAGGACCCTACAGTTCTCCTCCTCCTCTTCCTCCTCCTCCTCCCCCCCCCCTGCCACCCCGTAAATCCCACTCCCTTCTAGCACTGATGATGTTACCTAGTTGGGTTATGAAACGTCTGCAAGAAAACAACCAAGCCCAGGGAGCACCAAAGACCCCATAGATTTCCTCCTCCTCTTCCTCTTCCACCTCTTCCTCTTCCTCCTGCCTGCCTTCCCATAAACCCCATTTCTTTATAGCACTGATGATGTTACCTAGTTGGGTTATGAAATGTCTGCAAGAAAACAACCAAGCTCAGAGAGCATCAAAGACCCCATAGATTTCCTCCTCCTCTTCCTCCTCTTGCCTGCCTTCCCATAAACCCCATTTCTTTGTAGCACTGATGATGTTACCTAGTTGGGTTATGAAACATCTGCAAGAAAACCACCAAGCCCAGAGAGCACCAAGGACCCTTCATGTCAACTCTGAGCTACAAATAATTCTGCTTTATTGGTCTCCAAAATCTCCAGGTGTCTCTTGGGAGGGGGAACACAATCCCCCCCCCCCAAAAAACCCTTTTCTTTTCTTTCCTTCTCTCAGCTGTCGTGCCACACCAGGCGTAATGTATGATTAGGCCGATGGTTTCCTCCACTGTCATTTTCCCTGCCTCCCGGCCCATGTCATCTGCCGCAGCGACAGCTTTTTAAACGGGGCGAAATGACAACGCTTTAATGAAAATAAAAGCCAGAAGACGCCGCTTGTGGTTTCAATGTGCTGTTAAAACATGACGGGGGGTGGGGGGTTGGCGCCAGCCTCTGCGGGGGTTCAGAATTGGAGGGGAGGGGGAGGGAGCCCCCCGAGAAACCAGCCACAACGTCCCCGGCAGCTGCAGACAAGGGAAACCAAGTCCCTTGCTGCAGACTTATTAAGATGCAGCAAATTCACACGCGCAAAAAAAGAGGTGGTTGTCGATCCCTTTAACCAGCTGGGGTAAAGACCGAGCAGATGTTTTTAACATGGCATCTTGGCTGGCTGCAGAAAACGTGTGGTTGAAGAGAGACAGCTCCTCCAATCCAACAGGGCAGGGTTTTTACAAGGGTTGGGCTAGATAACGGAAGAACAGGGTTGGAAGGGAACTTGTAGGTCATCTAGTCCAACCCCCCCGCCCGAACAGGAGACCCGGCACCATTTCTGACAAATGGCAGCCCAGTGTCTTCTTTAAAGCTTCCAGTTATGAAACACCCACAACTTCTGAAGGCAACTTCTGTTCCATTGACTGAAAATGTCTCCTTATTTCTAGCTGGAATCTCTCCTTGATCTGGTTCCATCCATTGTTCCTTGTCCAGCCCTCAGGTGCCTTAGAAAATAGTTTCCCCCCTCCTCATCTCTGTGGCAGCCCCTCAAATATTGGAAGGCTGCTCTCCTGTCTCCCCTGGTCCTTCTCTTCCCTAGACTAGCCAGGCCCAGTTCCTGCAACCGTTCATCGTAGGTTTTAGCCTCCAGTCCCCTCATCATCCTGGTTGCTCTTCTCTGTACTTTTTCTACAGTCTCAACATCTTTTTTTACATCTCTTCTTTGTGGAAAGCGCTGAGATATTGGAAGACTGCTATCTTGTCACCCCATCCTTCTTTTCCTTAAAATAGACATGTCTTCTGTCCATCCATGGTTTACTCAGATGTCTTTCTTTCTTTCTTTCTTTCTTTCTTTCTTTCTTTCTTTCTTTCTTTCTTTCTTTCTTTCTTTCCTTCCTTCCTTCCTTCCTTCCTTCCTTCCTTCCTTCCTTCCTTCCTTCTTTCTCTTTCCTTTCTCTCTCCCTCTTTCCATTCTCTTTCTTTCTTTCTTTCTTTCTTTCTTTCTTTCTTTCTTTCTTTCTTGTTTTGGAAAATAGCTTGACCCCCCTCCTCTCTGTGGCAGTCCCTCAGATATTGAAACACTGCTATCATGTCTCCCCTGCTCCTTCTGTTCCCTAGACTAGCCAGGCCCGGTTCCTGCAACCGTTCTTCATACGTTTTAGCCTCCAGTCCCCTCATCCTCCTGGTTGCTCTTCTCTGCACTTTTTCTAGAGTCTTAACATCCTTTTTATAGTGTGCTGACCAAAACTGGATGCAGGACTCTAAGCGTGTTCTTTCTAAGGCTTTACAGAGTGGTATTAGTACCTCCCTTGATCTCGATTGTATCCTTCCATTAATGCAAATTATCATTGTATTGGCATTTAGATGGTCCCTCATGCATTCTATGATGCTGTAAAGGAGATTCAGGGGCTGGATTCAGAAGAAGCATTCCAGACTATCCTGCCAATATCTGGGAAGTGATAAAAGAGGCAGGGAAGACCCTTATTTTGGCCTTATTGATTAGAGGTGCTCCTTGACTTATTAGGGGACTGCAGGCTAAGACATATGAAGAACGGTTGCAGGAACCGGGTAGGTCTAGTCTAAAGAAAAGAAGGACCAGGGGAGACATGATAGCGGTCTTCCAATATTTGAGGGGCTGCCCCAAAGAAGAGGGAGGGGTCAACTTATTCTCCAAAGCCCCTGAAGGCAGGACAAGAAACAACGGATAGAAACTCATCAAGGAGAGAAGCAACCTGGAATTTAGCAGGAATTTCCTGACTGTTAGAACAGTAAATCAGTGGAACAGCTGGCCACCAGAAGTTGTTTGACTCCTCCAACACTGGAGGTTTTTCAGGACAACGACTTATCTCAAATGATATCGGGTCTCCTGCCTGAAAAGGGGGTTGGACTAGAAGACCTCCAAGGGTCCCTTCCCACTCTGTTATTCTCCTATCCTCTTATGCTGTTACGGCCGCAAATCCGCCCAATATTTTCGTTGCTAAGCAAGAAAGTTGCTAAGTGAAGTTTGCCCCATTTTACAACGTTTCTTGCCCCAATCACTGCACTTGTGATTGATCTGATCATTTGGTTGTTAAGCGAATCTGGCTATCACCACCCTTTTGACTTTGCTTGTTGGAAGCTG